GAAACCACACACACACACACACACACACACACACACACACACACACACACAGAAACAGGAAGCAAATGATGAGGTGAATTAATCATCGTAAAGAAGCACACACAGAAGCAAATCCAACATAATATGCTTTTAAATTATCAAAAGACCAATGCTAGTGAAAATTATAATTATCAAGGTAAATTTAGTTCTGCCCTGTAAAATACTGTGGCTTAGAAATGATACCAATTAGTGGAAGAGGAATCACCCCACAAGTGCAGTTAGCACCTCAGAGGCTGTTTCTGTGCCAGCAATATTGGATTAACAGGAATCTTCACACGTCTCCCTCTGCTATGTCCTCTGCCTCTCGCTTGTATTACTGTAGATATGCCGCAAAACTGTAACACACTACAGTGCTCAATTCAAAGGAAACTTAAAGTTAGAATAGATCCTTAATCTGTGAGGTCTTCAGCCCATTTTAAAAACACCATCAATATAGTATCATACAAACATTTAGCTCAGTAGCTCAAGGTAATGGCTGGATCTGACCTTTTTTTCAAATAAACAAAAACAAAAAACCCCACACATATATTATCAGAAATACTAGTGAAAAAGAAAACCTCCCCTGCATTTATCCTGCTGCCTTTCAAGATTATTTTTTCCCGTCCTATTACCACAGCCACCTCGTGACTCCTTGTGCCACAAACCTCCACTGTCGTCTAAATACATATAAAAGCGCTGTATTGGTGCATTCAGTGATTTACCTCTTTCATTACACAAGGCCACTTTAGTTCATTCAGAAACAACTCCACAACTACATTTGTGATTTTCTCAGTAAATCAGCTTATGCCTAGAGAGTTTATGCAGTGGTGCAAATCTGGCAAGCTCAGAGGAAATTGTTGCAATGCTGCCACTTTTGCAAGTCAACTCCATTTATGGTATACAGTATGCTACATCTCATGAATTAATAGGCCAATCTTTATATCTGTCTGTCTGTTCTTCACCCTTCTCGACATCTGTTCACCCACTGTGCTTGAAACTTGATGCATGAGGACTCTGGTATTGATGGTGCTCTGATGGGTTTGGATTCACTTGGATGAGCAGTTGAAATAATGCAGTTTAGAAATAAGCCTCCAGTGACTGACATTTATATAACATATGAAGTAACATTAGTGATTACGTGTCTAAATTTAGACTGACTGATGTTTCATAAGAGTCTAAATCTGTGCAAGCTGCAAGCTGAGAGTCTTTACTGTGAGCTAAATGTTAAAGTCATAATGCCAAAATGATCCAAGCTGCATGATATTTAGCAGGTATAATAGTCTTACATTACTATCATCTCATGTAATGTTAATTAGCATTTGCCATTTAGCACTAAAAACAAACTACAGCTGAGGTTGATGGAATGTCAATATTTTTTAAGTACTTCTTATTGTGTTAGCCCAAATTAGTTGAAATATTCTTTCTGAGCTGACTGTAGTTCAAGAGGAAAAGTCACTGGAACACCCAAGTTTTTCCAAATTATCCTGTAGGGTACAATAATGTCTGTGCAGTCTGTCAAGCAACCGGCATCATTTCACTCAGACAAGCAAATCCCAGACTGCCGGTGGTATTATTAGAGAAGTTAGAGGGATCACCAAAGCCATCCATCATCCAAGAATCATAAATGTCTTTGTAAAACTTGATAGTGATCTATTTGAAGTGTACCAACTGACTCTGACATCCTCAGAGTCCTGGTGCCAGTGAAGCTAAAAAGAAGGCTTTGAAAATCTAGATGTATCCAGCATTGTTCAGTGTTTGGTGGTTTGATTTTGCACAGTTTTAAAGGACTGCAAACTCTCTGTAAGCAGGCATTATCGGTCTGAGCTCACAGCTGACAATTTGATGATGCGTGTGCAGTATAATTACATTAATGAGGAATGTCTTGGAGTTCAGGAGGTTGGAGAACTGGTTGAGAGACTGAATCACGGTGGCCTTGCGAGCCTCTGGTATGTCTAGCTTCCCTGTGATCATTACATCATTGGCGCCGTCCTTAGAGGGCAGGAAGAAGACTCGGTCTGTGTACGTCTTGTAGTCCAGGAAAGGGATTCGTCCCTCATTCAGGTCATTGGTGTGGTCCTCCATCTCAATCATTAGGTCTGCGAGAAAGAAACAAAAAGCACCACATGGTTTCTTTTTAATAAGCAACTCTTGTCACTTTCACACTGTTCGTCTGTCTCAATTATGATGCTGCAAGAGGCAGAAAATGGAGAGCATTGCCAGGAAAATGATTTCAACAGTGAAATATTGTTTTCTATTAATGTTACTGCAAAACTGCTTCTAATAATGATGATAAGATGACATTGAGTGGGAGAATTTATGCATTTAATCAGAGCTATGAACCAATTCATTACTTTACAGCTTCTTAGAAACACGGATCCTTAGAGGGACATTAGCAATATTGTGACGCTTCTGCACAGCTGCACAGCTTATACCTGTGAATTCCTTCTTGCAGCGGTCTCGTACACTCTCCTCCAGGTTCTCAAGCTGGTGTTTCACCTTCTCATACTCCCTCTCTGCCTGCTGACTCTTCCTCCTGAAAAGATTAAACACACACACACACAAAGAAAATGCATCATGAAAATAAGGTCAAACAGATGAATGTTAACTTGTTGCAAAGAGGTTCTTTTCTTTTGGCCACTAACTTAGCTGCAAGGTATCCATTAGTTCTTATTACGCAGTCACTGTTGGTGTGCTCCTAATAATTTCTTATGAATATGAACATATCGTTTTTCCAAGTCGTTTTTAAAAAATACAAACAAACTAGCAAACACAATGCAGAAAAAGCTGGGACTGACTGGAGAAGTACCTATACTCTTAAAAAAAACACAATCAATTGTGTGCTCCTGCTGCATAAAGTTAACCTAAAATAGCTCAATTCACCTGTAGCAGTACACAGAGATAGTGATGATGAGCAGCATGGGCACAATGACAGCAGGGATGATGATGTAGAGCGGGAAATCATTCTTCTTCTCGTATTGCACCGAGTCGACCACCCACTCCCCTTTCCCAAACTTGATCTGTAGAAAGAAAAAAATCTTATTATTTGCACAAGCTCTCCACATTTTAGCCAAAGTCAAAAGCAAAGACCGGACGATACCGGGGAGGAAGTAGAGAGATTAAATCTAAATGTGAATAGTTTAGATTCCAACCGTCAACTCGGCTAAAGCAGCTCTAGGACCTTAAAAGTATTTTTAAAGTATGTATGTTCAGGTTGGTAGGGTTGCATAAAGAGGATAATTACATAAACGTACCAAGTCTCACACTTTATCAACAGCAGCAGATACCAATATAGAAAAAGCTGGATTATAGTCTAGCGGTGTCACTTCTTTATGCAGCCGCTGACATATAACAATAAGAATTACCCAGGGAGAGGTATGGTATTCATCATAGTTGTGGCTTACCTATAATTACAGGCAATTATAGAGCCTGTAGCTACATGAAAATTGTTCAACCGGTGGAAAAAAAAATTGGATCTCAAATTGTATAGACGATATGCCGGGAGAAGAACAGTAAAGGTTCATGATGCATGCATGCTCTCATCTTCAAGTCTGTGTATGGATCTGCAATGGTCCATTTACTCAAGTACTTTGCTGAAGTACACAGTTGAGGTACATGTACAAGGATAAAGACCATGGGCACGAAAGATTTCTTTGCTCAGTTTTAATGCTGTATTTTACTCCACTATCCATTAATCTAATAGCCTGAGTAGTACCCAGTGTCCTCTGCCTTCATTCGTATTATTTCCTTATTTATTACAAACCAAACAATATACCCTAGTAATTTGTCTATGATTCAAATGAATGGCTAAAAAGAAGCTTGCTTGTGTGTAACTCATGACATATAGCAGTATAATTATAATAAACGATTACATAAGGAGCCTTTATCCATTACAGACCATTATTTTGAGTACTTAAAGTTCATTCTTGAGATATCTTTAAAACTTTAACATACTAAGATTTTGAGGCGAGTACTTTTATTTATGAAGCAGTGATATTACAGTGTTGCATTAAAACGTTCACTGAAATAAGTGATCATCAGTCAGAACTCATCTGTTAGTGTGCTCTGACCATTAGCTCCAGATCCTCCGACCCAGTCTCTCTGTGCTGATGTTTGGCGCGAGTACGAGCACCAGGCGTGGTGGAAGGTGGTTCCAAGAACAGCTTATCATCCTGAAGGGTGTTGACCACACACTGAACGTCGCCTACGAAGGCTTGTGCTTCTTTAGTTGTCATCGCTTTGGAGAATCCCCGACCCTGCAGGGGGAAGAGTGAATGCGAGGCTCTAAGGGCAGTGACTGAAGTACATGGGAGAGAAATTAATTAGACAGATCCTACGATGAGCACTGAAATCATTATCGGCAGCATTTTATGAGTAATGGGTGGGAAGTGTGCTGTACGACAGCTCCTCACTGCTCCAATATGAGCTAAAAGTAATTAAAAAGATAAAGATTGGAGTTATTGTAAGCACCTCACTCTCAGTAATTTCTTGAGATTTTGCAGCACACTTGTGGATCTACAGACATTTAATTATTCTAATGTCGGCTGGAAGAAGGTGAAACCAGCTTAAGTTAATCAGCGGCTGAGTAACTGAAAAGGTTTTACACGTTTTGCATATGACTTTCCCCACAAGTGCGTTTACCAACAGAAACTTTGAGGTGGTACACTCTGGGAGCTCAAAACAGCCATAAAAATAAGCTATAAGAAAAATCGATTCATTTTCTGGCTCAGGCTTCTCAGTCGTTTTTGTTTGTTGCATATCTTTGCCTTTTGTGACAATGCTCTATTGCACTTGTCAAACAAAACAAGCAATGTGAAAGTGTCACCTTGGACTTTTTAGTGGCACCCTTGAGAGGTAAAAATAATGCTACAAAACACGTGAGAAAATAAATCCATGATGATGAAAAGATTCAAAGTGAAAGAAACTGGGGTTTTATTTACTAGCTCATCTACGTACTGTCTGATATCGAGAGCACAAAGTGTCAGATTAGCTATCGTAAAGATGAACATTTGTTATACTGTGGCTAAAACAAGAATGTGTACTCGTGGGTAGACTTGGAGGGCTTTTCAACCATTTGGCTTAACACCACTTAAAACAAAGCTTTGTTTAATTGGGGCCCCTGCCCAAAAAACACTGCATGATTTCAGATAAGTGTTACGAAACTACTTTTTGTGTAAACACTTGCATGTGCGTTTTCTGGTGTTAATCTTTTTGTGACCCTGCAGTGTTTGTCATAAAACAGTTTTACAGCATTACACTAAAAGCGTGTTTATTATATCATAAAATGAACATTTAAAAAAAAAAAAAATTGTTATTTATCTGAAAGCTGCTTTTTTAAAAAAAATCTTTTTTACTTCCAAGCCAAAGCATTCACGGAGCTCAAATGATAAATGTGCAGCAAATGCAACTCAGCATCTTTTCCATTTTTATCCTCAAGTCAGATAATAAGACAGTTTGTCTTAATTAGGACACACAGCACACACCGACTATTCAGGAAAAAAAGGGAAAACGTAGTACTGCAACTGCATTAAAGTGACCTCGTGGCTGTACTCACAGTAACGATAATCATGCTGTTTGCAGTGATGATCTTGTTTTGTAGATTATTGAAGCTGGGGTTAGGGTGGTAGTGAAAGGGCTTCAGCTCCTTCTCCCAGTTGTCCAGCTTGATGACTGTTTTCAAGTGCTGGTTTAAGGAGCCGTTTACTGTTGGAGACTGAAACTGGATGACTGTGTCGTTCTTCTCATGGGCAAGCTGAGTTGGATAGAAGGACAGTAAAACGTTTTACAAATACAAGCATGACAAAAAATGCAGGAAATTACAGCATGGAAAATATGGAGCAGCACTAAAAATAATAATGCAAACACTGGGCGTTACTGGAGTGAATGTAATACATGGTAATAGACTGTGGGGGGGAAGAAAAAGCTTGTTTTGGTACAATGGGGAAGGTAAAATGATGTGCGTCTTTTCAGTCATTCTATTAAAATCTCAATCTTCAATCATAGAATGAGGCCTCTGATGAATCATAACTCAAACTGAGTCACTCCTCCACTGCCTTTCTATGCTTGTTTGTGATTAACTGGACTGATGGTGATATTTCTGTCACTCTCATTATTTCGACACTACGTGCATGACAGCTAAACTCCACGGTTCTACAAGTAGGTAAAGTTTTCCAACAGAACAAAGCAAAGGCGTCAAAATGTCATCATTAATACATAACAGAAAGACTGAGAACACACATTTGAAGTTTTCAGACATAATAGCAATTCCTATGTTTTGGTATCTAGTGTGCAGTGTAACAATGCACACTAGACTCACCAATCACAGGATTGGTGAGTCCCAATCCTGTGATTGGGACTCACCCTGTTTCTAAATATGTCAATAGCTGGTTAGGAAACATCTGGACTCTAGACTGTAATCAGGGTGTCATTGTAAATTCACATGCTCTAAGTCAAATGTTAATTTTAAGACAAGTGCCAAACTTCAGAAAATAAGGCTAATAATTAAGTTAATAAAAGGTGTTAATTTGATATTTGTTATTTTCTCTGAAATATTTTGTCTTTTAAAAAGTGATTCATACAGGGCTAAAATTGGTAGAATACAATAGAAATACATGTAAAACTACCAATTTTAGACACACTCACAGCTTTCCGCAGGGACCGGGTTCTCTAATGCTTATTGTGAGTAGCTGAAAGAAGAAACACGTCACAGAAGTCTCTGGCATAATATCAAAACTGGAATTTCTTCAAATTCTCCCCTTCACCTTTTAAAAATCTTGCAAATTGCCCATATAAAGGCATTTTGAATGTATATTTACACTCACTACTATAACATGCCATATCTCTGTCCGTATACTCCTCCTACACAATCAGGATGTGGCACACAGGTACATGTTATCTAGATTAGATTTGACAACATTATGTTGCCTAGCAGCCACCTACAATCAGACTGCAAATGACCAACTTTTTGCATATATGCAAATATAAAACTTCATAAAAGCATTGTATCATTTTCATTTGACAGCAGTAGCATCTAATTTGCATCCACTTAATTTGACTATTATGGCATCTATTTTGACAACATTATATTGCCTGGCAACCACCTGACCTGAACTACAATTACATTTATATAGTGGAGGAAAACTAAAGAACTCCAGGGGACCCACAAAAATATTTACTCTATTTAGACACTGTATCAAAAATTTAATGTTGGATAAATCACTGCATTAATGTACCTGAAACAATGAGATCTGAAGGTATGTGAATTAGTCCAGTCTTCAAAATAACTTTTGAATGTTATTAACATTTATGAAATCCTCTTTTATTATATAGATTTCTATTTGATGGAACAAAAATAAATCCATACCAATCTTTCACTACACATTTAACATCGTGGGAAGGTGACTGGCTGACTGTAGCACACTTTTGTTTTTTAGACAATGGAGGCCCCATAATCATACATACACGTAAATGCATTTTGCTATATATAAACATTAAATCAGTCCCATATTTATCTTCTAGATAACCAAATTCTACCACCCCCTTTTTAAAGGAACTTTTCTCAGTGTGATTAGGTACATCACTTTGCCAACAGCACAAACAATACTGTACCATAGGTATGTGCTGGAACTTTAAAATGATCCATCCATTAAAAAGTTATTTTTGTTGGCTCCATTAGGTGTGCAACAGTCACATTTGGTATAAGTAAACATTTCGTAGCAACTATTTAGTAGGATTTTCTGCGGTCCAATCAACTCCGATTTAGAAGTCTATAAAAATCCATCTAGGTTGTAACTACAAACATATGCTGCACAGACTCAAGGACTCTCAGGAAGTTTAAAATCCAAAATAAGAACTAGTTGGTCTTTACAGAGAATAAAACCACACACAATAAATAAAGTTCAGGTCAGCAACTTGACCTAGAAATCTAAATGTTTTTAATATTTGCCAGCAGCCATGATGGGTCCTCATATTTGGGTCTAGCTCAGAGATGGACTTAAACCAAGAGAAGCTTGTGAGGCTGACCAACCAAGGTCTTTGAGATAACACTTTACATCATCTACTGCTAGTTTGTGGCAGCCAGAAAATGATTTTCAAGCCTTTTCTGTCCCTTGGTAGCAGGGCCAGGGGACTTCGCTGGGACGGGAGTAAAATCATGAAGAGTGAAACAGGCACATAATCTTCAGTAAACCTAATTCTGGTTTAAAATTGTTCCCTTTAAATTAAATGAACAAAATTGCTACTTCTTAAGACTGCCCAGTACACTGGAGGGCAGACGGTGGCAAGCTGTGTGCAGGTCTTTAAAGTTCCCTGGCACAGTCAGTCCTACCTGATTGAGCTGGACAAGGGCCATAGTTACATTCTGGGTGAGGGTGAAACAGTGGTGGCAATATCTGCAATCCTACAGGTTTTAGGGATTTATGGCTCAGGAAGTGACATGAAGTATTATAAAATCTCACTGATCAGTGGCAGCAAGGAGGAGTGGACATGTGTGTTTTGTTTATTGTTGTGTGTCCGTTTAATTGCAATGCTTCACAGAGTTTGAATGAATCAAAACTAGAGTTGGGGTTCATGAGAAGTGGGGGGATTGAAGAGTGGTGGTACTGTGAGAGAGGGAAAACATGGGAGAAAAAGCAACATTTAGGAGAAAGGGTAAGAAGATCTAAGATAATGACTGTCAGAGATGCATCGGTGCATTGACTCAAATGAAGATACGGAAAATGAACAGGAACCTCTGAAGCCGACCAGTTGCTTCCCTGGACCTTCATGATTGCAGTCTGGATTATGTCAAATCCGGAGCCGGTTACCACAATGTTCCTCCCTCCACTAAAACACACAAACAAACATATCTATTCACACCAAAAACACAGGAAAATACATATTAATCAAATGTATTCCCAGCCAAACGGAGACGAGAGCACAAGCTCGCAGGAGGACAGACAGTTCTTAAAATGCACCTGGGGTAATTTTCACTGGAGATGAAAACAAACTGTCGTCTGTTGTTTTAGTCAGTGTACCTAATCATGTGTCAGAATTGCGGCAGAAAAAGCAAGGGAACCATCAAATGCATCCATTTTCAGCAATTATCAAGCAGTTTGTTACAACACCAAAAGCAGCATTGGTTCAGCCAGTTTCAGCCAATCACAATTAAATGCACATACGCACGCACGCACGCACGCACGCACGCACGCACGCGCGCGCGCATGCACACTCAGCAACTCTTGGAGGAAAAAATCCTAGATCCTAGTTTTAAACACAAGAAGTTTAATGACATTATTAAGGTTTCCCAAAGCTTCAGACAGAAATCTGCAGGGCAAAGAACAAGGCAGTTAAGTTTCTAAGTGTTCAGTTTTCTACATACAGAACAATCCTATTTGCCTGTGTCACTAATGTCAACTTAGAAGCTTTTTTCTTTCTATTTTAAAGCACATATTCAAAAGTAAAAGTCAGCCTGTGTCTTATTCTCTTATTTTTGGCCATTAAGACAGTAATCAGAGTGGCATTTTCACACTTCTGAGGTTTACAGGTTGGGGAAATTTGGACTCGCAAAATAACAGAGTTAGTCAAGTCAGGGAGGGAGAGTTTCTTATCCAACTATGAATTTTTGATCATACCTACTCAGTAAGACCATATGTATGTACAGAATGCATTTAGTACTTGGTCATATTGGTCTTATTAGGTAGATATTTCAGATATTTCAGAGTGAATATGAAAAGTAGATCCTTGGAACTCCCTTCAGCAAAAAAAAAAAAAAAAAGTTAAAATGAAGGCAGTAAAAATACAACATGTAACAAACAGATAGAGTAAATGTCACAAACACCATGACTGCATACTGCTGTGTTAAACTGACCAGACAAAGCTTGCTTTGGGCTGGTGATCCTGCACAGTGGGGTTTTCAACAAACCGAAAGGTAGCCGGGATGGTTTTTGTGGTTCTCTTTCCATACTTCATTACGACGTCGAGAGGGTCAGAGGGCACTTTATCCACGCGGTATTCTCCTGTCCTGCAGGTGATATTTTCTCCAAAGTGCTCCCTGCCAAGACAAGGACATAGCTCAGTACTTGCTGGCTGAAGGAGTGGGGGTGGCACAAGGTCACCGTGCAGTGGAAGCCAACATGGCAGCAGGCTGACAGCTTGTTAAAATCTGGCTTTGCTGCTTCTCTTGCTCGTTATTTTTCCGTTACCTCTGCCTAAAATGTCACCGTGAATCGGTTTTGACAGAGCACTGGTGGTCACAACAGTACAGGAAAATTGTAAGAGAAAAAAATCCCTCCTCATTGTGACACTAAAGTTAAGGTCAATTCAATTTTTTGCTTCAAGAATATACACATATATAAAAAATCAATTTGTGGACTTCAAAGTGTGCGTAAAGCAGAATTTGCATAGAATTCAATGTCTGAATAACAAGTAGCTCTATTAACTAAAAAGGCTGAATTGAAAAAGTTTGGCCTGAATGAGAATTATTGAAAAAAAGAAATCCTTACACACTGCAGTTCACCCCTCCGATGGTAACCTGGACATCTTCTTTACTGCCAGCATTCAGAAATAGTCCAGAGATTGTAATGAGGGTTCCCCCTGCTTTAGGACCTCTATTTGGCGTCACCTCCTCAGGCATCGGGTCCTAATGAAGGGGAGAGGGTGTCACCAAATACCACCTTAATACACACTCATATTTCAAGTACACACTAACTACTGGCAGATGCTGGCACACACTAGGATAACACACACAGATACAGCTCCATGTCAGAAACATTGCTTCTCAGCCTGATCTAACCTGACCCACTCTTTCAGAAACATTCAGATACACAAATTCCCACAAGCACCACATCTGCCTCAATTTGCTGAGCAAACAGTTAGGAGGAGCACTCCCCTGTGGGGAAGCTTTAGCAGAGCCGGAGATATGAAAAGCCAGTTAAACAGCTACGCTGTAGCCTCTTAGAGTGTTAAAGTGACAAAGGGAACTGCTGCACAGCATCTGGTTAAAGAGGAATGCCTGCACATTTTGACTTACTGTACAGTAAATTACCACAGCAATGTGCATCTAGGCGCCTAATTTACTGTTACATTTAGCATGTTGTATTTGGTCAGTCTTCTTAACTGTCATGCCCTTGGTATGTTTTGATAAGAGTTTCTCTGGAGCTAATAAATGGAAAACATAAAACAGTCCATAAAACACCAAAATCAGCTGAAAGCTTTTGGATGAGTTTAATTTCTTAATAAGAAGCTGTACAACTCAACAGAGGACGTGCAGCTGAGGACAGTGTATATGTGTGTGTTTGTGAGTGTGTATGCATTTACCCTGTAGGTGAAGGAAACAGAGGAGGTTCCTCTCTTCCCCCCATTCACCTCGATCTCAACCTGTCCCCAGTCAGCTTTATCAGCAG